GACTGATTAGAGAAGTAAATTTTGTCCCTACCATCTGTGGAGGAGTTAAAATCATCTTTGTTCCTGTGGTGACCTTCACTGCTTACTGCTGTGGGCCGCTTGTTCCATTTTACTTTTTAGCTCTCATGATTGCTAATCATTGTCATCAGTGAGGGTACCTTGTGGTTGAAGGGGGGAATTGAAAACTGAAGCAAGTAGCCTTTCATATAATGACCTTTAATTATCATTACACAAAAGTTTCGATTGGGACAGTTGCCTGTAAGCAAGCGATGTCAAGCCCCTAACCACAGGCAGCCTCCCCCTCACATCCACTGCCGGCTCTGCTAGTGTAAGTAGACAACAATTAGAATGGAAAATGCATACAAATGAATATTGTCAGCTCAACTAATACCAGCTACAGCCATCCTATTGGGGCATAGGAACATTTTGACATTTTTGGCTGCATATGCTTATTTGCTTTCTTTCTTATTTGCTTTCTTTCTTTCTCGTATCTGTATATGTAAATATAGAGCTGCAGCCACTTAGCTTAGATTAGCGTAAACACTGGAAACGGGTAAACAGCTGGCTTGACTGTGTCCAAAGGTAACAAAACTCACTTACCAACGTCTCTGAAGCGCATTAAAGAAAACATTATGTGTCTTGTTTGTTAATCTGTACAGAACCCAAAGTATAACAAGGACATATTGTGATTTTACAGGGGCTTATATTTCTTGCATGGACACAGGAACTGGAGTCTCAGCTTTTTTCCTGATAACTTTATACTGACAGTAGATGGTTGGATTTTTGTATGGATTAAACAAACAAGTTATATCATGTTAATTAGTAGGCAAAACTTTAGAGATACTGGTAAGTGAATTTGTGGAAACAGGAAAGAAAACTGTCCTACCCACACATTTGCTCTCACCAGCGTGTGAAACTGAATAAAATGAAAGAAAAATGTGACTAAGAGCCACATTTTCATCTGTGAGAATGACAACAGCTGGATGATTTTTTCTTTTTACTTTTCTTCTTCTTTTTTTTTTTTAAATGAAAAACATTTTGAACAGTGCATTATGCACAAATTCATCAACATGTATTCTCAGTGGTTCAGAAGCGCAATAGGTCAAGACCCATGATGCAATCCTTGTTTCACACCCTCAATCTCAGGCAGTAAACACTGCTGTTCATTTAGGAATAACAATTGTATTTCTTGGTTCAAAACCTGCTGACTGTCTTGGTTCTTTCTGTGTGGAGTTTGCATGTTCTCCCTGTGCCTGTGTGGGTTTCCTCCCCCCAGTCCAAAAACATGCAGGTTAACTGACGACTCTAAATTGCCCAAAGGTGTGAATGTGAGGGTGAATGGTTGTTTGTCTCTATGTGTCAGCGCTGTGATATACTGGGGAACCTGTCCAGGGTGTGCGCCACCACTCGTCTGATTGCAGCTGGAATTGGCTCTAGCCATCTGAATCCTGACCCACATAGCTAACGAACGGATGGAATCGTATCTAACAATAGCATCCAACAACACAAAATATAATTATCACCAGCTGGATACAGTGTCTGCTGTTGGTACAATAAAATTATAGGTCAAGTGCCCCCATGACCTGCTTTGTTATTTATCATCACCTGAGACCGTGCTTTTTCTATAAATAGCAAAGTGACAGAGTGTAAAACCCCCTAAAAACTATCACTATGAGTTGACACAATAAGCCAGCGCACAAAGTTTTTTTAAGTGATCTGGATGAAGGGAAATTCCTATTACAAAACCAGGACACTTGCAAGGTCAATTTTTGTTTTTACTTAGTGAAGGATATGTGAAAGTTTGCAGATAGCAAGAGTAGGAGGGCAATACTGATACATCACAATTGTCATCGTGTCGCCACGGGGGTGGGAGGTGAAAGAGGAAGCCCATTTTGAATTAACTCCCACTGTAATTTTTCACAACTTGCACTGAGTTTCACTGGAACAAACCTAGAGCAAACATGTGCATGGACTGAGAAATGACTTGACTTAGGTGGTAACTGGTCAATAAATGTTGACACTCTGTCATAACTTAAGTGATATCTTTTGGGACTATTAAGCAGAGATGAGAAGACACACTCTCAGTGTGTGAAACCTGTTCATTGTTGTTTGTCAGCATTTTTCCAACTGTTCTTTTTTCCTAAAAACAATTCTATTAAAAACTACCATGTGTAAATATTACAATGTTGAAAAAGTAGCATGTCTGTTGCTTGGTTGCGATGGTTACCCTTCTACCTTGTATAGGAGATGATCCGTCAACATTTTAAGATTTAAACTGCTACACTTTCCTTCTCTACTCGTGATACATTTCTACAACTAAATTTGAAAATTAGCAAAATGCTCCCAGAATCTGCTGCAGCCTGCTAAGTGTAAAACGTGAGTTTGTGAGTGAGTTATGATCCAGTTCTGAGTTGATTAGCCTCCAGAAGATTTGTTCAGCGACTAATGAATGATGTGAAACAAAATGGCAATTCAGCGTTCAGAGTTAATTTGCATGTGGATACGAAGGCCAGCCTAAGGTGCTCATGATGACAACATTAAAATGTTGATGTTTAGCTTGTATAATTTGTGTACCATGTTAACCATCATTTGCAAATTAGTACACAAACTGGCTGATAGAGTATCATCAGTTTTGCTAATATTTATGCTGCATTCACACAATGCTTGCAGAAAGGGAAGAACGGAAAACACCTGTTATTCAGATTTGGGAGTGTTCATGCATTATCCTAAAATACTTAACCTTAATACTGCTAAAATACTGTGGTGTCATATGACAAAATTTCCATGTGCATCCGTCCCATTCTAGCGGACACGATATCTCAGTAACGCCTTGATGGAACTTCTTCAAATCTGGTACAAACATTCACTAAGACTCAAGAATGACCTGATTTGATTCTGGTGGTCAGAGGTCAAAGGTCCAGGTCGTGGTGACTTCACAAAATGTGGTTTTGGCCTTGTGGACATGATATCTTGAAAAATCCTTGAGGGAATCCCTTCAAATTTGACACAGATGTTCACTTGGGCCCAAGGACGAACTGATAAGATGTTGGTGCTCAAAGGTCAAGGTCACAGTAACCTCACAAAACGCAATTTTGGCCTCTTAAACGTGATATAGAATTCTACAAGGAAATCCTTTCACATTTGGCATAAATGGGACTCAGGGATGAACTGATTGGATTTTGGTGGTCAAAGGTCAAAGGTCAAGGTCTTTGTGACCTCACTAAACACTTTTTAGCCCTAACTCAAGACTTCACTCAGGAATTATGACAAAATTTCACAAAAATGGTTACATGGCTCCGGATGAACAGGGATGTAATATAAAACTGAGTCTGATTGGCAGAGACATATGTAAGTTTTGGTTCATCTTGCAACAAAAGCCTAAATTGGCAACACAGCTTGTTGGCGCCACATCATTTTGAAAGGGCAATGGGGAAAGTATATTCTGTCACTCTCATTCAGTCACTCGGATGGTCAGGTTTCGCGTTTATAAGGCTGGCCTTGTCCTTCTCGTCTAGATCAAAACCTACCAACTAAATACCTGCTCTAGTGTGGGAGTTAAATTGATGCTCTGAAAAAAAAAACCGCCACCCAACAGACCGTCCACGGTTTTCCATACAGCGTGATTTGTCGCATTTACAAAAGATCTTTGCTCGCCCTTAATCAAGCTATAACCGCCCAACACGTGCGTAGGACACGCCCACCTTCTAGAAGCTTCACGTGACGGGGAATTCGTGCCCAGCGTTCGAAACTGTTGACGTCGATGTGTGTCGTCCTAATGGTCAAATACTTTTGTCTTTGGACGGTAAATTTTGACACAAAATTCCTGTCGTGAGTTTGGACATTATCTTTTATAAGCTTAATGCTTTACTTACAGTATGTGGTATAAGGTCTGTGTCGGAGGTAACAGCCTTCTGCCTTCAAATTAGCTCCTAGCCAAGCTGAGGTAGTTAACGGTACAGGGATTTTTAACGTCCCTTTTAACCGTAACTAAAGCTAAAGGAACTGCAAAGTTAATGTAATATTGATTACTATATTAATTTGAATTGTTTTTGCGTTTGCTAGAAAATCCTTCCGTAATGGTAAGGCTAAGATAACTACCACTGTTATCGAACTAACTATTAAAACTGAAATTAGTAGGAATTAAACTAGTGATTTTATAGTGTTAACTGCTAACCTAGCTAAACCTAATGCAGTGTAATAAAACAGTCCTGCAATAAATAATCTGGTAGTGAGGCATATAATGTTCAGTTTGTGTTGAAACGGTTTTAGAGAGGTGATGTTACAATGGTCATTTTGGTGGCTGTAGTTTGTAGTGACGTTGAATTGTACTGCAGTACACAGACAGGTGTGTGTATATTATTTTGTCCAACCCATTTATATCAATGAGGGAAGGCTAAATCATAGAAACACCTTTCTGTATAATTCAGTACGTTTCAACAGCACCACAAACTGCATACGCCAAAATAAGCATACAGTTAAATCAACGCCTCTCTGAAGCTATTTCAATAAAAGCTGAACATTATAATTTTAATGAAGGGAGGACTTTATCGTATTAGATTGCTTTGGTTTCGGTTAGTGTGTACCAAACAAACTGCCAAATGACCTAGTTTAAAAAGTTACAATACAATCCTATACATAGTATCCGCAGGTCTTAAAAAGCCTTTAAAACCAATGATAGGTAGTAACATTAGTTATCAAATATAAGTCTTTGTAGCAATGAAATCACCTATAATGTTGTTCCAGACCTCTTTTTATAAAATATGTGAATCAATTAGTTATCCCTCTTTGATTAGTTAATCCAGCCATCCATTTTCTGCTGCGTATCCAGGTCATGTTTAGACATTAAGAACTATTTTTGCATACTGTTGGTAAATACTGTCTAATGTGTGATTTAAATCGATATATTTGTGAATAATTTTGGGCCTCATCATCCTGACTGTTTTGTATGGAAACTGGTATTAAATTTTATTCTCTGTTTTCAGTAATTGTTAAAGCTTGGGATGTTTCCTGCTGGTGGATCATTTCGAGGCTCCAGAGGAGCCTGTTTTGCCCAGATCCTCATGAGGAATTTGCCTGTGAAGTCAGGTCTGACTGAACCATACAAACCTTCATTTACTCCCTCAACCTTTGATGATTCTAGCAAAGATGTCTTTGACCAACAAGAGAAAAGTACAGTTAAACCTGGTGAGTTTTAGAATGTGATTTGCTTGAATCCCACAGGACTCTTATCAGCAGCATTGATAGTTAATTTAATAACTAATCCAGGTAATAACTTACAGACCTCGTTCATCCCCTGTAAAATCTGGTGTCTGTTGCAGGACAGTTAACATTTTGGGTTATGGATGTAAAATTTTAATCTGCCCTATCTACACTTTTCCTTCTTTTCCAAACTAAGCACCTGCTATCAAGCCAAAAGTCTCATCTAAAACACTGATCGACAAATACATGAGAGGTGAAACGCATGCTGTGAGTTTGCTCCATCAGCTCGCTCAGATTTTGCAATTCAGCCTGGAAATGAAAGAGACAGTGACCACAGGTAAACTGTTTAGCAAGTCTCTCTGTTCAAATTCAGTTCAGAGATCACTACTGTTGTTATCGGACTGTGAAAGCCTGTTGATTAATTATACGTGAAAGACTTATGCAAAATATTTACGTGATCTGTGATCTTGTCTGTTACTTTCTTGATTAATCAATCAATAATTTTAGCTTTAGCATGTTTGTGCAAATGGCAATTTTAGTAACACTGTGTCTGACAACCAGAATACTAGATAACTACGATATCAACAGACCCTCCAGAGAAATTTTCCAATATAGAAAACTGGTTTTGCATTTTCTACATTTCTGATAGAAAAAATATATCCATAAATCAGAACTAATGATTTGGATTGAATCAATTTCTTGACTGCTGTTTTCCCAGGCAACATACCAGGGCTCTATTTTGCCTTTTGTGTGGTTATTGATGGGGTTGAGTACAAGACTGGCATGGGCATAACAAAAAAGGATGCCCGGCTCAAAGCAGCACAGTTTGCACTGCAGGACCTGCTGCCCACCCTGGACAGTACGACGTCTGTCCTCCCCGATGCATCAGGTTCGGGTCTAAAGCTGATTAAAGTTACTGTTTCTGTAGCAGAGTTAGATGATTCCTCTAATTTTGGCAGAGGTTGGCCTCTATTAACTAGCGTTGGTTTCCCTCCCTTGTACATTTATAGTTCATGTCATTAATATTGTTGTGAGCCAACATTATATGTGATGCTACGAGTAGACATGGTTGCCAATGAAATAGGTAGGTAGGTAGGTTGGCTTAACATACATTGCTCTTGTACAACAACGCTTTGTTAAGATTCAAAATAAGAAATAAAATAATGATGATAGTGGTAGACTTAACAGAATAATACAAAATAAACATGATACGAGGTCAGTTTAAGCAGTTACATTTGGGTAGAATAGGACCTTTTTTAAGATGGCACTTAATTTCATTGTTTTCCATGCCTGTTTTTCCTTAGGTGTCCCTCCGCCCCTACCAGTAAAAAAGGAGCCCTCCATCTCCGACAACTATCCTGCTAGAGCCATTCATGGTAACCCTGGATTTTGATATGAATAACTCACACTGCCCTATTTGTGAGATGGCAGGACAGTAACAATAACAATTTAAATCAGAAATACAGAGGCATGTTGCATTTCATTGTTGACAGTTCACACTGAGACACAGAAGGATAAACAGTCCTCATCAATTGCAGCCACAAATTAGGACAGTTTGATTTCAGGTTGGGAAAACTGAACAAACACATGCCACAGTAGAATATATCTCTCTACATACCTTTCTTATTCAGGGTGTCTTTAATGAGATCAAAGCCCGTTTAATTTTTGGTTTCCTTAATCATCTTTTTGCTGTTCAGAAAGGAAGAATTCAGTCAACCTCCAGATTCCCCACGCTGTCAGGGATCAGCTCGCTAAACTGATGAACAGCCACCTAGAGTTCTCTGCCTGTGCAGGCACCACAGCAGCATTCATCATTCAGACTTGTAAGTGAGCTCTCAGACAATAAATGCTTCAGTGGCAGGTTAGTAAAACGTAGGTATGGATGGATAGGATAGGATGAATTGGTCATTTCATCTGACCTTATTTTTTATCAGTCTAACTACTGAATAAATGTATTGTGTACAGGGACATTATTGAATTAACTAACTTAAATATTGTTAGTGAATATTTCACTGATTGATTTAAGCTTTTTGTGCCAACTAAATTTCTACAGTATTTCTTAGTTACAAATGACACTAAAGAAGAAAAGTTTAAAGATTATGTAATTATGGGTGATATGATAGACACTGTACAGTGCTATACTATGTGCTATACTAGACAATGTGAGGTCATATGTTTCAGTACAAATGCAATGCAAAAATACTATATCTGTGGACATCATTCTATTATATTGAAATGTGTTTCGTTTGTTCACCCCCAATATGTCACTCATAACGAATAGAAAAAAATGTACTGGTGTTTACAGTTAGCTCATTTGAGAGTAACAGGAGTAATACACGCAAGTAAAGTTGAGGTGATGAATTCTGTTTAACAGTTGCGTGTCGACTAGCTAAGTGCACTTTATTTACCACTGTCCTCACTCTTCTCTCCCCTTAGCCAGCGGATGTGAGGTGGTTGCTCTTGGCACCGGAAACTTCAATACCAAAGAGAGTGCCTCATCAAGTGGACGGATTGTGCACGATTCACATGCTGTTGTAACTGCAAGGAGATCTCTGATGAGGTTAGCTGCAAACATAACCCTATTAGATTGTTTTGTGTATCATGTTACACCTATAAACAAATTATTTTCTTCACATTACCCTATGATGCAAGTGTTGCACTGAACAGTGAAGGTGATATTTTTCCATGTGAAGTTATGGTATTTTATTATTCATAGCACAGAGGTTACAAATCAGTTCTTAAAATCAAGATTGGCAATGTCACAATGAATACATTCATACATGTATACATAATATGTTCTAGAAGCTTTTTCATTTTCAGTAAGTAGTGGAAAATACTGTTTCATGAGTCCACGCAGGGCCCCAAACATTAAGATTAAATACCACTTCTAACACCTTCAAACTGAGAAGTTTGTAAAATGTGGTCACATGATGACACATTTGTTGTATGTTTGCCTTTTGCAAGTTTGGTAAGTAAGTGTACATAAGCACCTTTGTAGACCACAGTAGCCTACAAATTTCTCTGAACTCTCGAAGTGGGTGCATTTCCTGTTTTGTCAAGCAGTCCCCCCGTGCTCTGAGATCACATGCATTTTATAGTTGTCATTATTTACAAGTTTGAAATTCACAATCAAACCTCAGGTGGAGGTACTGTATTGCTTTGTTTTTAGTAGAGACCTGCACCCCTTGTATTATTGAAGTAAATCTGTTTTATTTATATATCACAAATTACAAGTTTGCCTCAAGGGGCTTTACAAACTATACATTATATGACACCCTCTATCCTTGGACCCTTGGCATTCTTCTAACTGGAAAAGTTTTTTTGAACAAATTGAACAAGTTTTTATTTAGCTCTCATGCCACACAACAACTATGTGTTTATAGGAGAAAATACTGGTTTAAATTTTAAATAAACTTGCATTCAAATGACACCTCATCAGCTAAGGTATGAATTGTTTTCCTGGATTATTCATAGACACTGTTACAGCACATACAGTATGCCCATATTTCAGATGTAATATCATAATGAGCCATTCTCATACTGTGTTAGGTTTCTTTATCGGCACCTGCTGATGTTCTTCAGCAAAACGGCCAATCTGACGGAGAAGTCGATCTTCCAGCAGAACAGCAGCAGCGGTCTCCTCAGCCTGAAGAGCGGAATCACCCTTCACCTTTATGTTAATCAACTGCCAAAGGGTGCTGCTCAGATCCCTTCCAAGCTGTGAGTGTTTGATTATCAGCTTCATCCTTCAGAGGTTCTCGTTGCTGTTTACTGATGAGGCGCTGGAGTTATTGTTTGTAGGTCCTGAGTCAGGGAAGAACTATGGCAACCAACTTTTGGGAGTAATATTGGGATAATTTATAAAATGTCAGTGAGTAAAACACTTAACTTGAACCTCAAACAGCTGATATTCATAGTGACGTAAGTCACATAGGCTCTGGAATAAAAATCCTTCCTCAAGCTTGCTCTGGTTGTTTTGCACTCAGCATTATGCAGCTGCTGCTGTTAGCAGTTAGGTTCTTATAACAGCCATAAAAGTACCAGTTCTGGGTAAAGTTGCATGACTGATATTTGTAGAAATGATCACTGGATTTTATTCTCAGGCGCCTGAACCCACTCTCCATTTCGGCATGGCAGGTCAACAACGAGATCAGCCTACACCTGTCAGTAGAGGGCAAGGTATTGTATCTAGGGGTTTTTAATCTGGCTTGTGCAATTGTTACCTGCACTATCGCTGCATAATTACAAATTGATTTGTTTCTTTTATAGGTGTTCTCAGTTTTCTCGTCAGGCTTTGATCACTCTGTCTCCAAGGTGGTCAGCATGTCCACCACAGACAAGATCACTCAGTGGCAGGTGCTAGGATACCAGGGAGCCTTGCTCAGCCACTTCATCGAGCCCATTTATGTCCAAAGCATCCTCATAGGCAAGTGAACAAGTCAAATTATCATCAGGATTATCAGGGTTTTTGTGGCACCTTTTCCAAAATCTGAGATGCAAAGGCAACAACAGAATCACTCCAGTCTAATGTTAGGTGTGACAGTATAACTAGGTCAGGCAATACAGCAGAATGATAGACCTCTAAATTTATAAAGAGTACCTTTGTTGTAATTCCCCTTGTATTTCCTTCTTCACTGAAGAATTTCACTTTAGTGGTGGTTGCTTGTAGTGAGATGATATTTTAATAAAAGGAAGAATGTTTTTGTAAATCAAATGTCAAAATGTTGCATTTTGAATGTGGAAAAAATCAACATGCTGGATTTGATAAACAATAACTAGCCAGAGCACTAATCCATTTTACCACCAGACTAGTAATTATTTGAAGCAGTATGTACAGTATACAAGTGGTATAGTTTTTCTGACATTTTGTCCACTTCCAAGTATAGCGAAGTCCGATACTATACATACATCAGCCTCTCTTACACACTCAGTGAGAACTTAAGAGAATAGGCTTCTTAAAGGTAGCATTTATTTCTGGGATGGGGAAGTCTATCAGGGTGTAATTTACTTGACAAAAAATATGATATGAGATTGTTTTGTGTGTGTGGGTCTCAGCTCATTACCCGTTCTCTGCTTTGGCAAGAGTTGGATCCCAACAATGTGTCAAAACATCATAGCATAGGCAGACGGGGCCTCTTCCAGCTGTTAACGCTCATGTTAAAAGTATTTTCCCTTTTAAAAGAGGAAGGGAGGCAGAAAGGCTCCTGAGTGTAAAATGAAGCATGACAGAAGTTGTTTGTATGTCTTCTGGTGCAAGGAAACAGCACAGAATCTGCTTGACCATTCCTTCCCCAATCAGCCTGTTTATCACAAAGGTGCAGCTAGAACAAGGTCATGAAGAAGGTTGTATATAACTCCACTAAGCTATTGTCTTTCCTCAGAATAACAGATTTTTAGATGGAATCACTTTCCAACAAGTACATCTAAGATATTGAGGAACCCTGAGGACCTCTAATCTTCACGACTGGACAGTGTGTCAATTATTGCGAAGGCTGCCCCTTTAAATTATACAGCAGATGATTTAACATTAGGTAGTACTGCATGAAGTCAGCTCTCAGCTTTAAAGATGGTTTCTCAGGCAGAAAAAATGCACACTTCTAGCCAATGAATTCCCCAACATTGAAATGATCTGAAAAAGAAAAAAATAAAAATCATTTGAACAGGTGTGAAAATATCCTACTCAAGTTTCCAAGTCAGGTTTTACAGAAGACAATGGTGTAATGTCTGATTTTCCATATGAGTCTGTCCTCTTCTCATAATCATAATGACTATATGACCAACATTTGCCCAATCTAAGAGAGAGGGAAACTCCAGAATTAGTCGTATTGGATGTGTTTGAAAATGTAGAATACTTTTTTTGTTTTAACAAATTTAAAAGTAAGATTATTGATTAAAAGTAATTATACCAATTAGTGTTAATGAGCATGATGCAGCTAACATGACTGAATTAAATTGTTAGTGTAGGCAATACAAAACACAATACAATTAGATGACATTTCAATTAATGGAATTTTCATACCATCATTTTCAGACACCTGACAACCTGTTGTACTCTATATTCTATTGGATTGCAAAAGCAGACATTGCAAAAATTAAACCATGAGATAGATAATATGTAATGCCACTATCTGGAGTTAATATTCCAACAATCTCAAATCCAAAATAAAGTAATCAGGTGTAACTGTACATAGGTATTTGCTGAAATATACTGTACCAACTTTTGATTAAAACCTTACAGGTGATTCTTACAGCAGTGATATCCGTGGCATGGAGATCTCCGTGAGCCAGCGTGTAGAGGGGATCACCTCTCAGCTGCCCATGTTCTACTGCATGATGAGGCCCCACATCGGCCTGGTACCTTCTGTGGCTACTAACGGCACCGACAGTGGCCAGTTGACCCATGGTATCAACTGGAGCGAAGGAGACAGCTCCGTGGAGGTTGTGGATGGTCTGGAGGGCAAGACGATAGAGGAGTAAGGATGACTTTATAGGAAGCTGGCAGTAGGGTGTCATATGTAACCACCAAATTTTGCATTAAACTATTATGTCAGTCAAATTTGGCAGCAACTAGTTAAAGTGGTGCAAGAGATTGCCACAGCAACTGTTGGGTAGCATATATTTAAAATTAAAAGATCAGTAACGTCAGTTCAGAATATACTGTTAATCACAGCATGATTAATGAGAAATGAATGATAACTTTATCCACTACTCAGTCAGTTGGATTTGTGGTGTTGATGGTGTTTCCCTGTAATGTTCTTCTGTAATGGGTAGTGAACCTCTCGTCATACATGTTGACACATGCAGCCGGGATCTTGTGTGCATTGGCCATTATCCGAACAAGTTCCCTAGTCTGTCAGCTCTGTGTGGATTGACTTGGTTACTTTTCTGCTGTCTTGCTAGCTTTGTCTGTGATTACATCTTTACACTGATTCTCTTGTTGCAGATCTCCCTTTAAGAGTGGCCCTGCTCTGGCAAGCCGTCTATGCAAAGCAGCAATGTTGCACCGCTTCAAGTTGGTGGCCAAAGAAGCTCAGAGGCAGGACCTGCTGGCCACAAGCTCCTACAGAGAAGCCAAGGTAACCCCAACAGCTCCTCTCCACACCTTTTGTGTAGTGTTTATGGAAGTAACACTTGTATTATAGGATAAACATCGGTTTCATCACTGATCCACTGACATTCAATTTATTTGTTCATCAAAAGGGGAGAGTCGGTGTTTAGAAAATGAATCAACACGTTTAAATGTAGTATTAAGTGTAATTCCCAGTATTCAATTTTGAACACTTGATGAATAATTTTTTGGTGTGTCTGTTCTTGTCATACAGTTTACTAAGTTTTTCAGTTGCTGATTGTTAGTCCTCAAAGATAATTTACCAAAACCTGCTCATTGTGTTGCTTGACTGTTCAGTTTGTATGTAATTCATCTCATCTTTAAGTGAGCGGCAGCACATTTTTGCAGTGCTCCTTTTTTCCCTAACTTCGCTATATCGTTTCACATTTAAAACGGTCCTATAGTTAGTTTAGAACTCTTAAAGGATTGTTAATTACATTACTTCTATTGTTATTTTGTCACTGAAGAGGATGGCGAAGCCGTACCAGGAGGCTAAGAACGTGCTGAGGGCGTACCTGTTGCAACAGGGCTTTGGTTCCTGGCTGGTCAAGCTTTCGGTTAGTGATAACTTCAGCATGTGAATGAAAACACATTGTCACTGGAAAAAAGCTACATTCAGGAATGAAATATTTTAACGATCGGTTTTGTTTGCAAGAAGCACAGTTTGTCGCTATGGGACGTCACCATACTAGCAATAAGTTTCTATTGTGGTTTCTGAAGTACTTAAAATCAATCCCCGGCCATGTTTTAAAAGCAGTCACAAATTTGTTTAAAATAGCAATTGAAGCAAACAACTTATTTAAGGCATCGGGTTCATATTTCTGCTTCATTTAGTTGATATATTTATGTAAAGTATATACAAGTGTATATACTAGACTACTATACTAGAGTATATACTAGTGTATATACTCTACATGCGTTATTTACATTGTTGTACCATTCAACAATAGGAGTTTGTTTTCTTGTGTGTAATGAAAATGATCATGACCACCCTACTTTTGAACTGTGCCTTCATAGCTATAGAGAGGCTCTGAAGTATGTTTAGTAAGTTATGTTGATTGTTGCAAAAAGACCTGAGTTTTGTCTCAACAAAGTTACTGTTTGTGTTCTTATCTTTTGGGGAAAATCATATTTTTGTCCATGTTCAGCAGTTTGTTTCACCCCTTGATACTGCATGATTAGCATAAAAATAAATCAATGCAAGCTGAAAAACCTGGAGTACTGTACATGTCATTACACCCCAACATCCACCAAAAACTACAGAAAATTTGATTTTTGATAACAGGACTGTAGGTGCTTTGTTAATTAGAATGGAAAAAAATAAAATGAAACAATCAAAGCAAGCCTAAGGCATAATATTTTGTGCAGTGATTGTGTATCATGAAAAGAGTGGACAGTTCTATTTACACATCTTTTTCATATATTTGATAATGAAATACTTTTATTATTATTCACAGAATACTGTGTGTCTGTCACTAGAAACCTAGAGTATTTTTCACCCAACAGGAGTGTGAAAAATATTGCATGCAATTTTCTTAAATCTCTTAGTTGTTTGATAAGACGACTTGTGTGTATTGAATGTCATGTAGTGACCTCTAAGATGAGCAAAAACAATTTGCTTTCGATTCACTATCTTTTTAAAGTGATAGTGTTTGAACTTGGATGGGAAGTGTTTGCTCCATGTTCTGGTGTAATGATGTTTCTCCCACTATTGCTCTTCCACTATAGTTTTTATGGTATTTACCACTATAACCAATTGGGAATAGACCAGATCAATGAAAAGAAACAGTATTGGACTAACATCAACTTCAAAGTCTGATTATTCAATCTGGATAATAAACAACATTTATGATATTAGTTTGCCAAACTTGCTTTAATCACATTAAACAATCATGTCAATTTGCTAACCATTTTAGCCTATTTTAATCTACAACCTGCTCTGTTTAGCTGCATGATGAGATTACAGTGGACAGTTGCTCGGAGCTGTGGTGGTGCCAGATTCAAAGTAGAATATATATATATTTGTGTGTGTGTGTATGTATGTGTGTTTTTATATGAAAAAACCTTAAAATACCTTAAATACTATATTGCAACTAGGGAGCTTTTCCGTATTGTTTATAGAAAGTAGTCCCGCTCAGTCATCACTTATGAACCACTAGAAGACTGAGGCAGCGTATTTTTCTGCTGCTGTCTGCCTGTGTTTTCTTATTTTGCTGTGTTTGGGACAAGTCTGGGCTGCAACCTTTGGACAGCGGATGTGTAGCTAATAACGGCACTAACAGGTGGGTGCTGCCGGTTAGCTTAGTTAGCTTCCTAAAGTATTGGCTTTTCAATTACAACAAATGTAACATTCCTACAATAGGAGCTTGCAGTGTCCATACAAGCAGTGTGATGCTGCAGGTGGTACACTGGGCTGTGGTCGTTCTGGCAACTTCGGTCTTGGGCAGGGGGCGTGCACTTCTGGTGGCACTGAGTTGTGGAGGAAGGTCCAGGTTTGAATGCTGAATTCCTGACTAAAATGCATTTGATTTTCCCTGGCTTTTCAAGCATTAGTCTCTACCATCACTCTGCCATGACAACAATGATCCACCTGTAAGGTGTCTACCACCTGTTATTAGGAATGATTGTAAATGAGAACTGTAAATTTTAACCCATAAACTTAACTCTGCAGTGTAACTAACTTGTATTGTGCAACTCATTTACATTTACAGAAGTTATTTCCTGCATTATGTTCAAACTAAGCTAAGTTTGCACTAACACATAGCCTGCAATCAACAGCTTTATACAAAAATGACCAACTTCTAAAATGCTTTTTGAAGTTCATACTGCAATATTTGGGAAGATGACTTTTAAATGACTTGCTGTTGCTCCCTTTAAATGGCTGGTGGGCTACAAAAGCCTAAATTTACCAGCATTTGACAATGAAGAAGTGCTTATTCCCCATCTTTGTGGGGGGATTCTTCTGTGAAGTGGGCCTTGCTTATTCACAGATTCACAATGTCAAAACAAACAGTATTATGCGACGATCTGGCTGCTTGTCACTGGATTCAAACATGTTGGTCACCCCATGTTGACGCAAACTGTTGATTTGCCCTCACTCTGTTATTACATTATACACATACAGGAAATGCTTTGGTTTCCTGTGTATGCGATGCAGCGTGATCATTTACTCTTAAATGTTGAGCAGTCTTGTGAATGGAGTGGTGTGTCTACTTCCTACTGGTTTGCACCATCGAAGGAAATTCCAGGGCATTCAGGAAACTCGTGTGCAAGGATCAAGCCTTTCAGTTGTACGTACAGCTCCAGGTTTCATACTTTTACAAACTTACTGCTTTTACACCATATGCAATGCAGATTGTGACCTCGAAATATAATGCAATGCACAAAAGCCAGACTATCTTACACTGTTTATCATTTTATGTCAGTATGGCGATGTACGAAAAGGATTAAATGCAGATTATTTTTATTACAGTGCTGATAACTTTGACCGGTGATGTTCTGCCCCGGAGTTGATGTCTCATGCTGATGTCTTTGTTTTTTATTCTGTTGAGGAGGCATGTTCATCTCCCAACCTTTAAATGATGATGCATAGGGAAAATGGTCTAAGACCACAACTTGGACAAAGTCGTGTTGTCTCAGTGCATGTTAGACTAAAATGCCAGGTTGGTAAGGCGCTGTATCTAAATTGCCCTCCTTCCTGCTGCAGCCGGTACCTATTGTAAATATGCTATGTTGTAAATTCCCTTTGGCTGACTTTTTTCAGTGTGCAGAGAAAATGTAGATCATCGAGACTATTAATTGACATCTGCCCTGCAAAGAGATACTCCCTTCCGATAGTCCATTTTTAAGACATTATTAATGCTACTTGGTGTGTATGTCTAACGTCAGGCAGCCAACTCAGTTTACTTTTCCCTGAAAATGGCACCAACCCATGATATTTCATTGCCATCTTGGCTAATTTTGAATGTTGTTTGGGTAATTAAATACTGCCTTTGCATTTCCGTTCATTCTATACTCTATATTATTGTTATTAATAATAGTATGATTTCGTTTTTATGTAGGTGTTACATAGGTGAATCAGAGCCTTAAGTTGAGTACGGTCACTAGGATAAGACTGAAAGATATTCAAGTAAGTAATTAAGTTCTCCAAAACAAAAGCAAATTCATACAGTATTTTATATATATATATATATATATATATATATACACACACACATACATGAGCTTAACCTTTTTTTTTTCCTTTCTTTTTTGGCCTCACTGAGGTGATACTAGTAGGTTTAGAGATAAACAGGATATGCAACTCTCTTGATGTGGTTAAACAGTGAAAACATTTGAGCCCTGAGCTCTTAGAAGCTGTAGCACCTATGCTGTGGTGCTGTGCAGGAGGATGTTAAATATGTACTGCATTCTTGTAAATCATGGTCGGATTAAAAACCCCATTGCCCCCCAAGTGGCTTTTTGTTTCTGCTGTTTTGTCTGTCAAAATTACAGAGTGAAATATTTAAATAAAAGGTAAAACGAATTACATCAGAGTACCCATGACTTTGAGAAAGTGACGTAAGAGCGCACAAAGTAGTATCTTCCACGATATGGGTTAAGGACAAAAAACTCCATTAAAATATGGAAAGATCCAGTTTAAAAGAAAGTGTAACTACCCATGCCATAAGTCAGTATATGTATATATTACCTAATATAGAAAGGACTGTCACAGATAATGTAACAATGATAAGGGTTTATGTGATGACCACCACCTTCAATTATTTCAACCTTGTTTCAGAGAAATCATGTGGTTTTACCTAAATACAAGTACCTCTGAGCCTTGGCAACCGTTGCTATGGAGAAGCAGCCAAGTCAGAAAGGTAACCTTAACTAAATTGTTTTAGTTGACTAAATTTTAAACAAAATCCAACCTAAGATTAGAATTAAAAGAATAATTTCATATGATATATTGATCATATAGATTGCTAGTGAAAAATGATATCCTAGCGATTCGGTCTGCCGATCGGAAAAAGCTCATCAATGTAATATCATTGGAAGGCAATGACAGTCCATGTATTTTGTTGAGGTAAGAGGAATTGCTACATGTTAGACTCAAACATGCTTGTAAGCTTTGCACTTATACTGTTCTCAGATCTTGCCTCATAACCATCAAATTACATCATTGTCAAAAAGTACTCCAGATGATTATAGTCTATATACCCATGATTACAGTGCTAATAGGTCCCTCTATTAGCTAATGCATCATATAAAACACAACTAAACAGTTACAATGGAAATAAATAGGCCTGACAACTTTAAAGTTTGGCTAATGTTTAAACAATGTCATGGCTATCATGCTACTATGGTACAATACCAAAAAACAAAACAAAAAACAGCCATAATAGGCAAACAGTACGGTGAACGTTCCCTCTGGCACAAATTGCTAAGAACCGTGGGACTGTACAGAATCTGTTCCTAAAATGACTTGACAGTGACTTCACTATGACATGATTTTCCATAGTCAAACTTCTTGTGCCCTTAACATTGAGGAAATTCAGCCTCCCACAGAGGTAATACGCCTATTCCTTTTCCACATTAA